AGATTTATAAATGTATGATGTTCTTGAATTTGATTAATGTTGTTCTTTGAAGGGAGGTGGAGAAGATGATTCTAAAGAACTATAAATATGTATACATTAAATTAATGGGAAAAAAATTCTTTTTATAAGATGTTGAATTTCCTTTTGAAATCTTTTGAATAATTTTCTTTAAATGATAATAGGAACAAATTATAGAGAGAAAAAAAAGAAAAAAAATTAATTGGATTAACCCGCCGGTTGACCTGTGACTCGTGATGGGCGGGTTAGGGTTTGCCTTCATTGACCCGTGACCTGTTTTAACCCAACCCGTTTTGACCTGTTACCCGTTTTGACCCGACCCAACCCACCCGTTTGCCAGGTCTACCCCTAGCATTGTTGTACAATTAATTCCACCTAGACCTGGCAAACTGGCGGGTTGGGTTGGGTCATAATGGGTAACGGGTCAAAACGGATTGGGTTAAAACGAGTCATGGGTTAATGAAGGCAGACCCTAACCCGCCCATCACGGGTCATGGGTCAACTCTCGAGTTGACCCAATTAATTTTTTTTTCTTTTTTTTTCTCTATAATTTGTACCTATTATCATTCAAAGAAAATTATTCAAAAGATTTAAAAAAGAAATTCAACATCTTATAAAAATAATTTTTTCCATTAATTTAATATATACATATTTATAGTTCCTCAGAATCACCTTCTTTATTTCCCTTCAAAGAACAGCACTAATTAAATTCAAAAACACTACACTTATAAATCTCAATAGCAAAAAAAAAGAAAAAAAATAGTAGTAGCATGACAACCAAAAAACACAAACCCCATCGAAACATATTTGTTTTGGTCATTGCTTTCAAAGAATAATCAATTGAATGCATCTAAGTAAGTAAAGGAGAAAATCAAGTAAAATTTTTACTTGAAATAGAAAGAAAACTAAAAAGCATAAATAAGTAAACAATTTACCTTGAAGTATTTAGAGAGAAAAGTTGGTGACAAAAAGAACACTTGCCAGACTCATAGGAGAAAAAAAGAAAGGGCTGAGTGGACGCAACGGTGACTCGATAAGACTAAGATCTAAGTCTGAGATAATATTAAAGACTAAAGAGAAAAGGTGGAGTTGAAGCTTGAAAGTCAAAAGCTGTATGGATTATGGAGGTTGAAGAATATGAGAAGAGTTTGAAGTTTGAAGAGTTAAAGTCTTTGAGAGTATTAGGGCAAACAAGAATAGGAAATGCCAGGAGGTGAGTTATAAGTGAAGTGAGATTATTTTTACTTCTAGAAGATGATGAGTCAAGAGAATCAATTAGTTAATTAAAGAATATTAGTCAATTATTAGAGGTTTAGGTGGGATTGGAAATTGAAAAACAAAATAAATAAATAATAAATTAAAAAAATTTTAATTTTTAAATGGGTAAACGAGTCAAACCCGTTAACCCAATGGGTCAACCCATTATTGACCCATGACCCGTCGGGTTCTCTTAACGGGTCATTAACGAGTCGCGGGTTATAAATATATAATCTTAACTCGTTTTAAACTTGTGGGTTAATGAGTTGGGTAAAAAATTGCCATGTCTAATTCCACCGCAATTGATCACCACTTCATCAAAACACAAACCATCATCAAGCAATTTAAAAAAAAAAAAAACCAATCGTTTATCTTTCGTGGCTCTTTTTTATCAACCTCTAATTTAATGGGTGGTTTTAGACAAGTCTTTCGATGAATGCTGATTTGATCTGCTGCCCTCTACTTCCCAATCTAGAGATGCGATGGAGAAGCTGATCTGCTGTTGGATCTGGAGATGCGAAGGAGAAGCGATCTATTACCCGATCTGCTACGGTGCTACCTTGTGGTTTCTTCTTTGTCGATATGGCTGGAAAAGTGATGGAAAGTTGAAAACTAAAGAATGTAGAACAGTAATGGAGAATAATGATCATGGCTGGAAAAGTGATGGAAAGTTGAAAACTAAAGAATGTAGAACAGTAATGGAGAATAATGATCAGATCTGGAAAAGTGATGGAAAGTTGAAAACTA